GCTAACTCGTGTCATAAGAAGTAAGATTTTAAAGTGTAATATTTAGCAAGTACTTAAGTACTTAATTGGCAAGTTAAGTAGGAACTTAAATAAACCACGCACTAAGTCTTGTTTAAGCTAATACCAACAGGTTTATTCAAGCTTAATTTGATAACAGATTATATAACAGCACAAAGTAAGCTACAGGATCTGTTATGCCTCATCAACTATCTTATAAACAAATAACTAAGACAAAAATTTAATTTTCGTCATACTGCAGCAAAAGCAGCCGTTTTTAATACATGCGTTGCGGGTCTAAATTAGTATTTTTACTCTCTAGGGAGTAAAAATCTTTTTTAGTCCCTAAGGAGTAAACATCAGCTGTTGTAAACAGTTGTAAATTTCGATTGTGGCTATCGTATCGATCGAAATTATTTATAGATTGATTTATTAGGCAAGGTTTCAGCCTATTTTTGTCGATCGCTCGACATATCGATGGCATAATGTACTGTAATACAATTGTAATAGACGAAATGATTGAATCACTTGCTAAACAGCTGCTTATTTGCATTAGCAAATTTGTAAACCAGCTGGAAGTCGTTTTTAGAGGTTATCTTTACATAAACATTATTTAGTTTTCTAGCTTTGTTAATTAATGATGCAATATGATGAAAGATATAGTTCACCACACGGGCCAAAAGTGTGTTTTTAACCCTCGCTCATTTACCGACCTCGGCTTCGCCTCGATCATAAAACTTGACCTCGGTTCAAAAAGAGTCACTTTAGACCCTACTAGTAGTGATTAAATATAATATTACAACACTAGCGCAATATGTGACTAATCACAGAATGATGTATTTTTAATAAAAATTGCGATAGGCTGGTGTTTGTTTACTTTAGTACCCAAAAGTAAATGTTATAACTTTACTTCTCCATAACCTTTTACCTTTCGTTAACATTTGGAAACTGAAGTGGACATCCATCATAATTGACCAGCTGTCGTCAATCAGTTAGAAAGAACATAGTTCTGTGAGCCATACTTACTCACACATATAGAACTGGTGAAGGTGATGTTTTTTAATAGGCCAGCTGGTATTAATCAACTGTCTATTTATTTGAGTAGACTGCACTGAATTATATTTTCTACCTTACTTGTCAACACTGAGATAGTTTACTACACATAACAGATTTTATAGCTTAGAATAAATCGTCCTGACAGTTTGACTTTGTTGTAAAGTCCGCATATTTTACAGACATCAGTAATTTACATCAATGCATTCTGTCGGTGGCTCATTTAAACGTCCTCATTGATTTGAAACAACTTTAACATGGAGATGGAATTTTTAATTATGCCAATGCTTGTTCATCATTCAAGGATTTGATCAAACAATCGACACGTTCCTATGTCTCAGGAATTTCAGCTTTTCAGAACAACCATTTTCATTTTAATAAAGTTAACATACAAAAATATTACTACAGGCGTTCAAATAGCACTTATTTTATTTCAGTAGAGTCGATTGTATCAACTTGTTTAACTTTAATTTAGTGGTTAGAGATTGAGATTCGAGTATTAAATAGCAATTCGATATACGATATTTGACTCAATGGTTCGAATCCCGCATTATTCTGTAGATACACTTATCATGCAGGAAAAATATCAACCCTTGTAAGGTTAAATCATGTTATATTCCTTCACAAAAACCACATGACAATTTGTTTACCTTGAAATTAAAAAAAGTACTTCAGATACTTACAAAACAGAATGGGTACTTGTAGATGAAAAACGTTAACGCTCTAATGAAATATAAATTTTACGATGGAAAAATATGCATGAATATATGGATTATCATAACAATTTACGTTGTTTGTTCTACAGTATAAATTTTGTAGGGAAGAATAGTAATCAAAAACCTCGTAGGGATTGCACACAATTTTGCATTTTAAATATTTAAAGCAGAGCCCAAGCTTAATCCGACTCAATGCCTCATCTTGCTCAGATTGCTTTCAAAAAATTAACAATTCACATGTGAAATTACATGTTTAATTCTTAACATATTTCCCTCCTATTTCTCTCATAAGTTCTGGTTTTTTAGTGAATCCAAAAACCATACTTTTGGAATACAACGTTTAATTTTAATTTTTAGTAAAATCCCATTGGGAAAAAACAATGTTTTTATTGTAAGGTCCAGCGCTGCATTTTTGTGCAAAGATAACACCTTAAAAATATTAAGTAAATTTCAGAAACAGTTATTTAACGATTGATCTTTTGGAAGAATTTATTCTCTTCAACAAATGTCGGTCACCAGAAGGTACAGAGAATTATTCAGCCAATACATCTCCGAATGTTCTTACAAGGCAGAATCTTAAATCAACTTGTTTCTTCCTCTCCCAGGTCATTTTTATATTTTTCTAAATAAACATGTAGATGCTAACATATTAACCGAGGCATTTTAGTTGTCTTTCAGTTGTTTTCTTTTTTTCTTTTAATCAATTGCACAATTCCTACGGTAGATCATTTTACAGAGAGTTTTTATAACATGTACCTTGGTGCATAAAATAGTTATACACAGGGTAAATTGGAGTTGATACAGGGCGCCATTTTTCCAATATGGCCACCAACATTGATTTTTCTTATGCTTCCATAAGAAAAATCCAAATTGGTGGCCATATTGGAGAAATGGCGGCTAAAATATTTTTTTAACTTGACCAAAATTTGTTAATAGAAATCCAAGGCAGTTCAACATTTTTTGATATCCTATATTCTAATATGAGCAATGTTTGCTTGTATGCTTGCTTGCACAAAGATCTCGAAAACGGTTCCGACGATTTTCTTCAAATGTTGTAAATAGTTTATTCCTGCCATAAAAACGAGTTTACTGCAGTTAGAACTGCCAACAAAAATCTAATTACGTAGAAAAATAAAACTGAAAGTCACATTTTTTTTAACATTAGTCTTGTGGGTTGCTAAGTAACAATGTTGGTTGAATTTAATAACAAGGAAAAAGTAAACAAAAGACTTGTAAGTTGTAACACATGTGTTCATAAAGGCATCTACCCACAGTATACTAGAAATTACAAAATACAGTACAAAAGCAAAAACATCAATTGTTACTACTGAGCAATGATTATACTGAAGCTTACTCGATACATTGTAGTAAAGGCTAAGTTAGCAGTGCGGAGTGTGGGATCTGTTATGACGATTAGATTAAGGTATCTGTAATTTTTAAATGCAATGGGAAGGGAGGAAACAGGTCCGCTTCGTAGGAAGTGGTGAAGGAAGTAGTAAGGCTAGAAGTGCAGAGTGTGGGAACTGTCTTTGGCAATTACATTAATGTATCTGCAATCCTAACATGCAATGGGAAGGGAGAGAAACAGGTCCACGACGTAGGGAGTGCTGAAGGAAGTAGTAAGGCTAGAAGTGCAGAGTGTGGGAACTGTCTGTGGCAATTACATTTATGTATCTGCAATCCTAACATGCAATGCGAAGGGAGAGAAACAGGTCCACGACGTAGGGAGTGCTGAAGGAAGTAGTAAAGGCGAGCAGTGTGGAGTTTGGGAATGGATTTATGTATCTGCAATACTAAGACTACTTTCAGAGTAAACTAATGATTTTGCCCGAGCAAAGCTCTCTTATAACTTTCGAATAAAACAGCTGGCACGCTTATATCAATCATCCTGTATATACTTTTTCCGATGTGACGAAATTATGTAACAGGTTTAACTGTGGGTTAAATGAATTATTCAGGACAACATGTTATATCCAAGATCAATTTTATAACAGCTCCATATTACATAGCAGCAACTTTATAACATTTCTGATTGACTCAGCTTTGGTGTCATACCAAATGCCTTTTAGTATGAAAAAATTAAATTTAAAATTTACTTTTCCAAATAGAACCAACAGCTTTACCATTACCATATAATTCAACAGATAATAACATTTTGAAGAAAAATGAACATCATTGTAAATGGTAAATGTTGGCACTTCTTGTACGGCTGGACCGGAAGCCCGACGAAGCACTAGTCATGTCAACATTGTTAACGTTGCCTAGCAACAAGACTATCCTGTGAACGAGACAAGAAAATGAATTTTACCCTTGATTTACGAATTCATAAAGGAACAATGCTTGCTGACTAACGGCAAGCATTAATATTGTTTTCTACGTCGAGGATACATTTGAAAATCGATTTAGTTCCATATATAGCAACAAAAAAACTATATATTTTTTACATGTTCTGTACATTTTCTTGATAGTAACTTACTCCACGAAAATTTATAAATTTGATATTTAGTTTTACTTTTGTAGCATATCGTGATTTGAATATTTTGTAGTTATTTTTTTTTTATCATCAAAACTCACCTCAATTATTTTGAATATTAATTTTTTCTATAAACTTCGGATTTTGATAGCTGAAAGGAAATTCCATATGAATAAGGAAAATAAACCTATTAAAAAGATGTTTAAATAATTTTCAAATAAAAATAGCTTGATGGAAATGTAACATTACAATTATTATAAAAAAAACATTATGAGTAGGCCTAACCAATCATTATACTTTACAAAAGGTTGTACAATTTTCAAACTTTTGATCTTCATTAACTTCCTAATCCTATTCCTTTAATTAAATTTTAAAATAAAAATTTTGAATTATTTTAGTTACATTTTAAGACGGTATGAGGGGGGGGGGTACAAATTCCCCACCACTTATTTGTACTAATGTATGTTGCTTAATCAGCGGTTGAGCTATTATGTTAAAGGTAAGAATAGAATGGAAGGGAGAGATTTCTTCCTCCAAACCGCCTAAATATTGTAAACTACGTATAGTAATGTAGTAAAATTTCTCGGTTAGAACTTTAATACGTGTCAGGAAACAAGTTTATTCTCGTTTCATTGAAGTTTTACGATGTTTTATCAATTGCTAAAAGGATAAAACTCATTTTTTTTTAAATTTTTTACTCAATATCATCTTGTTAAAAATGTAATACAAGTATCAAAGGTATTTTTTTTAAATTTAGTATCAACATAAAATGTTTAATAGTGCATAGTGGTAAACGACACAATTGAATATATTTAACATGTCTTCAGGTTTTTATTTTACTCGTATTAACACAGATGCAAATGCTATCAGTAAGTGAATATTTCTTAAACTATATCTTTGTATTATTACATAGGTCCACTGAATTGTCCAAACATAGTTGCTTTCAGATCAGGTTTACTTGATGGGCCACGCCCACGGATTTATGTAAATTCTTTCTCCTGATTGGCTTACATTGTGTTCTACCTAATTATAAAAGTCAATTTGATTATACTTAGGTTTTGCATCTTCGGACATATAAATCATAAACAGGCTGGAACAGTTGGAGACGAGCAGATTCAACAGATCGAAGGATGTGTTTTGCAAACTTCTCCTCGGAGGTCACTGAACGCCGCAGGATTGGGAATCTGAAAATGTACAAATGAAATTATTAATGAACACTCGTACGCTTCGTGAAAATATAATATTTGGTAAAGTAGATATTCTAGTGGTTAGCGTCTCAGGCTTTGGTAAAAGAGGGGTGGGTATGAATGATCATCAGTGTATTTACAAAATTTTTGACTGAGGTTTCTTGAAAGTTGTTTACTCTGGGACGGGTGGCGTCGTCCTGTAATTCAGCTACTATGAGGTCACGAATTGTGGATATTTATAGGCATGCACTGTGGATGCGATACTCTCTGGTGTGGATTAACGTCCGCACGAATGAGTACTACGACTATCCGCAGTACTATCCTGATAATTAGACCAATTCGTATATACCGAGGCGAAAATGTGGTTCGGATTCCACTATAAACTGTAGGTCCCTTAGTTGCCATTAGCTGTATGGGCTATTAATTAACAGCTGTATCTAAGGAATATGTCGGCCTTAGTCACTAACAAGACTACAAGATCGCGCCACTCATCCTACACTCATCTCCATTCATACTTGGCTTAAAATACCTACTTTGTATGATCGCCATTTCATCGAAAGTATTAAAAGTATTAAAGATATCAATATATAAAAAATATATTTAGATTAACTTTCCACTTTACTCGATATCTTAATCTTATATTCCAACTTAGAGGTGGACTCCGATTTCACATGTCACTTGACATCTCAAATTGAACATTAAATTTCAAAATCGGTCACACTAACTATAAATTACATTGAAATTGTATGAAATTTATAGACTCACCCCGTCTATGGCAATTGAAGGGACAAACCCCGTATGCATGCTTATAGCAGGTTCGAACTCGGAGGTTCGGTTTCCAAAATGGCTCAGGAACTTTCTGCCTGAGTCGGATTTGGTGCAATTCATGATTACGTCAGTCTCCAAGCCAGCCTTTTGGGTGCACTGTAGGCATGTTAAAAATACATTTAAATACTTGATAATAAAACAACACAAAACACCTCCTCAGCAATTAATTACTGAATCTACAACCTTACCTGAATGACAGTTTCAAGGTTAGTAGCCTATTAGGCCATTCCTGAATCCATGTTCTTACGTAACTGGTAGATTTAGTATCTACATCATGGTAGTTAAATAATGTACCATCTCAACTCCTTGGTACCTACAATATTTTCTGGGTAGTTCCAAAATCTTTAACCAGACCTACTTAAGTTCTAGAGTTTGCATCCATATCTGGTTGGTCCATACTAGTTTCAAAGTCTACATTCTTCCAGAGTCTTTCCTCAATGTTAATCCCATAACCTAAAGCCCCACCTCCTCCGCAGTTCCTTTCCGATCCCTCTGCTCCATGTTGCAGTAGACGAACTCCATCAGTCTGTACCTCTGGTCCCACGGACAGTCCTGCGGTCGCTCCCCACACACCTCTCTCACGGCGCAGGCATGGATCATATTCACGTCACACTCCCTACTGCCGTGCTGACAATCGAACCGAGTCTGTCCGTTCAGTTGGAATTGCTGCGGAGAGAAATATTAGAAATGTCATAATTCCTGTAAAACTAGGAATTATAACCAAGATTCGAATGAATTTGTAATATTACCACTTTTTACACATTACATAAACCTCTTTGAATTTTTACAAAAAATACAGCTGAGCCCAAGGTGGGAGCAGGACTTCAAGAGGTCTAGTAAAATCTACTTTCAGCTGAAAGACTTTCTTGGAAAAGACAGAATGGTTTTTGCAAATAAAACATACGCCATATTGGAGATCTTCTTGACCAATGCCTCCATTAAGAATATTCTAAATAGTTATAGAGAGTCCCAATAGCTACAAGTAAGGAACAGCTTAGAGCTGTAAAAACTATTTTTAATTTTCAATATCTCTTGGGTTTTAAACTTAAACAAAAAATACTCACATCGGCTTTGCCGTAAGGTACGAAGTCAACAATGAGTTTCTCCCGTAACGAGGCATGAACTGGATAAAGCTGCTCGATGATGAAGTACTCAGAGTCAGGGCAGTAGGTCTCGTAGTATATTGTCAGTGTCACCTAGAGACCATTTATATACATCATAACTCATTTTTATCCTTTGTTGAATAACATTTTTGGTAATATGTTTATGTTATTGAAGAGATTCTTGAGGAAATATTCCATCAAGATTAGTAACTACGTAATGGATAATAATATTTTTTTCGGGATTTTATTTCTGATTTTAATTGTATTACTATTTAGTTTATCTGTGTTGGTTTTCGTTTGTGATGTTTCACTTTTGGCTTAGTTAGTGCAATCTTGCTATGTTTTAGGAACATGTTTATATACTTGAGGACGGGAACAATTGTAAGTCCCCAAACGTTGTAAAATTTGGCTTTTTCTAATCGTGGTGGAAAATATCTGCAAAAACCCCACAAATCACACATCTCTTCTTCTTTAGAATTTTTTAAAAATACCAAACTTTCCCGTTATTGTTAGTACAGGTTGTAATATTTTTTTTATTGCTAATATTTATAGCACAATTCGTATATAGCATCAAAAATTATTTTATCAATAAATTAAAATAATGAAAATACAGAAATATTAGTCCCGTCGTTTCCAACCCAATACAACACTACTGTACGTCCCTAATCATAGATGGCGAAGATTCAACTAAGTAGTATAAGCAGAAAACCGTTCTCAAGATTTCTTTCTGTGCTACCAAACTATGATCTATGCCTACTCGTATGTCAATGTGTTTAAAATTTACTAACATTTGTCGCATTATTTGCCTGTATTTCGTTAGGTCTTTTGTCAACGAATGCTCCACTGGCCCACCAAATTGCCAAGGTGATGATGGTTGTCGCGAGCAGACCCTCCATGGCGTACACAGCGAACGTTCCTGTAACATATCATTGACTTTGGAAATTGCTAAAAGAAAAAGTTGACTTTGAAAAAATATGAACAGTGTTGTGTGTGTGAATGACTGTACACGCTTGAGTGGAAGCCTTCTCTGTACAAGGAGTATAAACTTTCCTCATACGAATCATCATCATAATACGAATGATTCTTTCACTACAAAAAGTACAGATTTGTTATTGTTAGGTAAATTTGTCAGGTAACTTTAGAGGGTTTTATGTTATCATTAGACTTCATGTACTATTTGTAGTGAAAGAATTATTCGTACGATGCAATCTAATATAATACTAGAGAATAACTGGCAAGTACAATGTATTCAAACATTATTGAATAGTTAAAAATGTTTAAGTACTCACTTAATCTCATGTTAGCTGTTAAACCACATAAACATAAACAATATTACTAACCTAATACTTATGTTTATCTCATTGAATTTCTTCTAGACAGCTGAGTATTGTTATCAAACTGATCATATTTTGAATTATAAAATTAAATACTATGATAGTAATAAAACCAATGGTTAAATAAAAATACCACAGCTAATACTGAACTCTTAACATGCTATTTTAAGCTTGAAATACATACTAAATTGGTTCTAAAACCACGAAAGATTGTTTCCCATAAAACATAGCTACCAATCCAACATCTACTTGTAAACAATAGGCCACTAGCCACCAAGGGCTAACAACATATGTTTAGCTTTGACTATTCGAATAGTCAATGCTAATGGCTCTAAAATAGCTTTTCAAAAACATCCATTCATTGACAGGAGTAACGAGGGACAGAAAAAATGAAATAAATCAAATCTTAAGGCAAATTGAAAATTAAATATCACTAATAATAACAATCAACATTTGCTTACTAATAAATCAAACATGGTATAGGTTTTATTTAAGTTGCTTAAGCCCATTTAAACGTGAGAGTAACAAAATATATGTAAAATAAAATTCAGTAAAAATATTTTTTTTTGTAAAATCATTTTTAAAACGTTTAAAAATATTAAAAAAATATTTACCTAACAAACTTTTTTAACATTGCAAAAATGTTTTTAAAAAACTTGAGATTGGGATTATTCAACATGGTAGTGTGATATAATATATGAATTCTAAATTAAAAGCTGACTCAATTTAAAAATATAATTTAAATAGTAGCCTAGTTTTGGCCAAATCTAAAGAAATATTAAATTACCTTAAACATTAATTTCCGTTGTTGTAGATAAACTGCAATCGTTCAATTTGATTGACTTGCTGTGTGAGTCTAGATACAAGATGTTATGGTAATTATCACAACTTGATAACAAGTAATGATCTTTTATGTTTCCCAAAGCTGTAAAATCGTGTAATTTTGGTAATATCTATCTGAAAAGTTGGATCATCTCTTACATGTCGAGTCGCTCCAATATACAACGTGCTTTTAAAAATATTAAATCATGCTTGGGCACGCATTTTGATTATATGTATGATGTAATTTATAGCTAAGGTCATTCCTTTGTAATCCTCTTAAATACCTGAATTTTGCTGTCAAATGTTCTATTTTAGATAAGCGCCTGCCATAAATTCCTTGGTACTATTTTTGCACATAGCAGTATAATACAAATTTGCACTAAAAATGAAAAATTAAATCAACTTTCTGAGTATCATTGGTTCTCGGAACTTTAAATTCTTAAATGGTGAAATAAAAATAAAGGTTTATTAGTTGTATTTCATCAGTTTAATGAGAAAGAATTTTTATACTTTAAAGTTGATCAAATCCTTTATGTGTAACGTTATCCAATGATTTTGTTTATATAACTTATAGTATAGTAAATCGACACTAACCAATTTTTACAAGTAATCAACACTAAAAACACTAAAATAACTAAAATATTTGACTTTTTGGGCAAAACGTGAGGGTCATATTTAACACCGAGCTAATGAAAACACTGACCCGTAAACGATGGCTTTTGGAAACGATAAAATATGGACCTCTGCTTTCAAAGAGGCGAAGCTTTGAGTTTTGACTAATGATGGCATGCTTTGTCACTAGCAGTATAATTATATTGCCAATAGCCAATTGCTACAACTGTCGCTATAGTTGAGGAAACTTGAACAGTTTGTGACATAGTAATCAGGTTTGTAAAGAGGACAAAGTAAAAAATATATTTATAAAGCTATTGCATACTGTTTAGGACGTAGTGAAATATTTTATAAGTGTATCCAATCAAAGTACGGTATACTATGAACCTACCTAGGCAATGGAATTTCATAGCTTAGATAGGATCATATTTTGGAACTACTTTTGATGGAGCTATCAAATACAGTAATCGTCACCTGTGGGACCAATAGTTTTTCATGGATAGGAAGGACTACGACTTGAGTTGGGCTCTGAACCACTGGGTCGTTATTATAACATAGCTAAGACATTGGTGTTTGGTGGGGTTTGAACCCAGGACTTTTTGACAGACATCACGCTACCTAATAACGATACATTCCATGACAACTCTTGGTTTTTAGCAACGGTGGTTTTCTGTGTGAATGTGAAAACAGAACAAGCTGCAATGTCTTTCAACTTTTAAACCCTTAAAGCTTCACTAAAACCTTTACTTTGCATACACCAAGTAGACTTCTCAACTCTACATCCTATTTTCAAAGCCTATTTCAAGTTTTTCATGTTCTGTTATGTTCAGGTGTGCTAATTTGACTAAATGTTTTCTCTTTGTGGGGTATATCGTACCTGTAATAAATTACTTATTTATACCTTAACCTTTGGTTATGATAGAGGAATTAATTTGAATATAGTTTAATTTGGTTAAAATAGTTTTAAATTTGTAAAAGAAATAAATCTTTCAAACTCTAGTGTTGAAGATTTCCTCAACTGATTTTTAAGGATGATAGGTTAGTTTTTACTAGGAGTACAATGCATTTGTCTGCTTGTAATATTGAGTGAAGCCAGCATATTCCAATATTTTTCCAAAGTCAATGCTACGTCTGTTTTTGTATAGTGGGAATGGGATGACTTACTTGCAGTATCCTAAGTCAATGGTACATCTGGTTCACGTAAATCAATTAGCTGTCTACTTGCAGTATCCAATGTCAATGGTATATTTGGTTCACATGCAGTATCTAAATTCAATGGTATATTTGGTTCACATGCAGTATCTAAATTCAATGATGCATAGGCACAAGCCTACATCTATTGGTTATTCAGTTTGTAGTAAATTATGCTCAACAGTATTAATGCGATTGTTCTTACCTTTAATTCTGTATTTGTAATGTGCTAGTTTAGATGATTTGTTGATAAACATATGTTACAACTATTTTGTTTACCATCTTATTGTTACCTTGCAAATACTGTCATGGCAACCACATGCTCTGTGATGGCGACCTATCAACTCACAAGGCCCATGTTAAATTTCTAAAAATTTTAATATTAGAGAAACCCCCTGTAGTCCGATTTGTACCATTTCAGATTTATACCTTCCCATAGTTGGTTACAATGACTGTGCTAAATTTCGTACATATTGCTTCAGCCCAAGGAGAAGTATTCGTAAAACAAAAGATGGAGTGTAGTATTAAGAGCTTCTTCGCTTCGCTCACTCCGCTAAATTAGTTTAAACTATACAAAAAATGTACCAAAACATTAAGAACCCACGTTGTTTTACGTAAAAATTTATCTAGAAACTTCGAAAGCAAATATTTTAACCCCCTTGATTGTAACAACAGAACTTACAACTTAGGAAAAGAAGTAGTTAGCGTTGTTAGTAGAGCACATTTGCCAAATAAATGACCGTCGGGCAAGATTAATTGCATTCTGTGGCGACATTTAATCGATCTTTCAGTATCGTTGTTGGTCTCTTAACTGTGGAACTATAAGAAGAGCCTGGGGGCTGAATATACTTGAGGCTTGTTTTTTTAGCGAATTCCCCTAAGGGAAGTATCTATATTATTACATTTTTCTAGAGTAACTGTACGAATTCTGTCGGGGGTAAATCAATTATTTTTTCGATTCGTTGTATTCAAAATCGTTCTGAAGTAGTTGGTAAAAGATTTAAAATGTAATACTGATACATCTTTGCTGTATTTGAACATTTATAAATCAAATCCTGGGGGATTTGATTGATAAATGTTCAAATACAGCTAAAAAGTCTCGATCTTGATGGATTTAGTTACTACTATGTAACCTAATAGTAATTAGGCTACATATTCAATGCTATTATTAGATAAAGTTCTATTTTATCTTACATTTTTCACATTGGTATTAGTATTTAGTTAATTTCTGGGTGCACATAAGATCCAATATCTCACAATAATTTTAGTTTTATTTTCACATTATTCCACAATTCGTATAAATAACTTCTTGGTTAGCATCGTACGTGTTATTAAATAACCTGAAAAATACAGAAAATATATACGTCTAATAACACTCGCAAACGTAACATTTGCAAGTGTTATTAGACGTATATATTTTCTGTATTTTTCAGGTAATTCGTATAAAAGAATGAAGGGCACACGGCAACACTCTATATCGGTGGTTTGACTTCTGTATATCCTAAAACTGTATACAACTTTAAAATTGATCTAAAAAATTAGAGGAGTTCATCAACGGTCTAGTCACACATTAAATTATTTCCAGAACATTTTAGTTTTGACTTAAAGTTTTACAGTCAAATGAGAAATTTGCCGACATTAAAATTCCATGAGTAAGTAATTTAGTTTAAGATCTATTATTTAAAGCATTTTAAGCTTGATACTCTCTAAACACGATGATGAAAATGGTGTTGTAACTGATTATAATATAAATCCCACGTAAATGGTTGGAAAGTGAATTCTACGCAATGCGGAGATAATGTGGTGACTGTGGATTTGATTGATGATCTCATTTAGGCGCACTTGATACATGACTGGATCGTGGTTTCAATATCTAAATTCAACATTACTGCTCTCTGAAGTTAACTTTTTATAATAAAATTTTATTTTATTTGAGACATTATTGTGGACGATTAAT